TTATGTGGTATAATAAGGAAAGAGGCTCCTCTCAGCTTCACCCTTTTGTCCCCACTCCTGTACCTATGAAGATAAGGGAGAAAACAATATCTACCAGCCAACCTTACCCATTCTTTCCCAACCGATGCCTTCTGGCTGGGAAGGAGCCACCACCACAGCACTGGCCGATGATTTTAGGTATTCACTTCAACCTCTCAGACGGCACTCTAACCTCCTAAGATGTTGTGACCCAGATGATCCAGATGGTGCTGTCTGTTCATTTCATTTTATCAAATCCTATATCTCTGGGTGATAGCGCCATGGTAAAACCAAAAATTCTATGAGCATAAATCCACTGTCTCACTTTCTTCTCTGTAAAATTAGTTTCTTAGTTGATAGCAATGTGATATGTGATACTATAGTGATAAGTAAAGTTTTCTGTAGGTCTATGAATGACTTTGTGGACAGAAAGACTATAAACAGAGAAGAAAAAATCCATATTAAATATCTACATTCATGAGAGCAAACGTCTGCCCACTCTGTAATGGAAGGGATCCAATATAATCAACCAGCTACCAGATGGCCAGCTGGTTGTCCTGGGAAATGTTAGCATCTCATGGCTTATTAGGGACTGTGCTGTTGGTAGATGAAACACCCAGCAGGGGTGGTAGCCAAGTGAGCCTTGGTGAGAAAAAATGGCTTTGTTAAGTCCACGAATAAGCTTCCCCCATACTGTCATAGTTACTCTGTAAATGTAGCCATTGAGCAAGCACCAGGAAGGCCAGCAAAAGAAGCCGACTGGTATCCCCGGGAGGAATCCGCTTGTCCACTTGATCACCAGTAGCCTCCTCTGCAGTGGATGTTACCTGGAGCGCACTTTAAAAAAGCATGTCTATCCATGTACATCTCCCCCAGACCTCTTTATTACTTTTAATATTATTCTTTCCAAGTATCTTTCTTATTAATTAACCTTTTTAGTCACTACCCACAAATCATTGCAGAGCTATACCGTCAGCCATCTCACATTCCACAGATCATGAGTAAACAGACGCACTACCTGAAATTCTTCCCTCTGAAAGAACTCTTATCACTGTCTCTCATGGCCACCTCAAGTGGAGCTATAAAACAGTGGCCAGTGTGCATGTGGAACCTTCTCCCAATAAGATCATGCTTTGACACTATGGTGTACAGATCCTTCTGTAAACTGGTTCATTTATTTTTTTTCTTTCATCTAGTGGTCATAGGGAACTCTTCATGAAGCCCAATTAAAAAATTAATTCTCTTGGCCTTTTCTGCTATAATAGTTCTCATGACACAGGTCAGGAAATGTTAGTAAACCCATATTGGAATACTGTCAGTTAGTAAGTGTACGTATCCACTGTATTTTCTGGGATGCGATGAATGAACACAAAATGAGTGCATGATTATAGTACACCCATTACTGGATAAATTTCGGCCAATCAATCTGTCATCTAGCCATCAAGGCTCCCTCTCTGACCAGTGGGCAACAATGACGTTTTGAATCTCTAGGCCTGAGTCACTTCAGAGCTGGTTTTCTAAGAATCTCTAGAAAGTCTGGGTATTACATCTCCCCACAGAACTGTTCTATGGTAAAGGGCTGAGGTCCCACTGGAGAAAGCTTGGAGAAACATTCACAGTAAATATCTATAAGTATCTGCAAGTGTCATTCCTTAAAGAGGCAGCCTTTTCTTTTTTTTATTTTTTGGCCGGGGCTGGGTTTGAACTCGCCACCTCTGGTATATGGAACTGGCACCCTACTCCTTTGAGACTTAGGCACTGCCCAAGAAGCAGTCTTTTCTTCCATCAAGAGTCTCTAGATTTGTGAAGTAGCTCAAGTCTGAGAACTCTGGAAAAGAACTCTACAAAAGATTTCCCACTATAGCATCTTAAATAAATAAAATATTTTCAACCCTCCCGACCTAGAATTTCTCTGCTCAAGTAAAACAACACAGTAGGTTGCTGCAGTGAGTTGAATGGTGGCCCCTAAAAAAATTCCTACTTTGGGGCGGCACCTGTGGTTCAAAGGAGTTGGGTGCCAGCCCTGTATGCCAGAGGTGATGAGTTCAAGCCTAGCCCCGGCCAAAAACTGCAAAAAAAAAAAAAAAAATTCTAATTTGTCCATGCCCTAATACCTGGACCCTGTGAATGTGACCTTATTTTGGACAAAGGATCTTGGCAGCTACAAATAAATTGAGGATTTTGAAATGCGATCATCCTGGATTAGCCAGTGGGCCCTAACATTTAATCTGATATTCTAAGGGTATTAGAGTAGAAAAGATGTTTGTCATGTGTACAATGACAAGTGTCCTTATTAGAGATAGAGGACACAAACACACAAGAAGGCAGTGTGACTACAGCAGCTGAGATTGGAGTGACGCAGCCATGGAAGCCAAGGAATGCTGGGAGCCACCAGGAGCTAGGAGAAGCAAGGAAGGATCTTCCATAAGATTACAGGGTGGGGCACAGCTCTGCTGACACTTTGCTTTCAGACTTCCAGCCTCCACTGTGAGAGACTGTCTTTGTTATTTTAAGCAACCCAGCCCATGGTAATTTTTTATTACATTCCTAGGAAACTAATACGTCTGCCTCATTTCATTCCTGTGTATCTGATGATCAATTAATCCTTGCTATAAATCCTTGCAGGGTCAAACCACTCTGTCTCTAAAATCTCTTTTAAAAATTGTATTGTGGCAAAGACACTTAGCTTGAACTACCACCTTAACATATTTGTATGTGTAAAATACCTCTTTGTTATCCATAGGCACAATGTTGCCCATCAGATCTCTAGAACTTATGCATCACGCGTGTCTAAAATCTTATATCTATTGGTTATCTGTTTCTGCTTCCAACTCCCCCTACTTCTTCCAGCCCCTGCTAACCACAATTAATATTGTTTGCTTCTATGAGTTTGACTATTTTATAAACTTTATATAAAAGGAATCATGCAGTATTTGTCCTTTCTGACTGGCTGATTTCAGTGGTTCCCAACCTTTTTGGCAACAGGAACCAGTTTTGTGAAAGACAATTTTTCCATGGAGGTGGGAGTTGGGGGTTGTATGTGGAGCTCAGGTAGTGATGGGAGTAATGGAGAGCAGCTGGTGCTTATAAATACAGATGAAGCTTCTTGACTGGAAGCTGCTTCAGAGGCATCTCACCTTCTACTATGCAGCCAGTTCCTAAGTTCCATGGAAAACAATTTTAACATGGAACACAATTTTTCCACAGATGTGGGAGGGGAGAGAGGGAAAGGGAAAAGGGGTGGGGGAAGGGAGAGCTCTGTAGCCCCATTACCAATAGGAAATGGCCAGGTACTAGTCCACGCCCCAACCACAGCTTTATTTCATTAGCATAATGTCCTTCAGGTTCATCTATGTTGTTAAATATTAAAGGATCTTCTTCTTGGGCGGCACCTGTGGCTCAAAGGAATAGGGCACTGGCCCTATATGCCAGACGTGGTGGGTTCAAACCCAGACCCGGCCAAGGACTGCAAAAAAAAAAAAAAAAAGGATCTTCTTCTTTTTTTAACTAAATAATATTTCATTGTGTGTATATACCACTTATTTTACCCATTTATTTACAAAAATTCAGTCTGCATTTTGGGTGTTGTGAATTGTGCTGCAGTAAACATGAGAATGCTAATACTTCTTTGAGATTCTGATTTCCATTCTTTTGGATAAATATTCACAAATGGGATTGCTAGATCATATGGTAGTTCTACTTACAATTTTTTGAGAAACCTCTGTACTATTTTCTATAACAGCTGCACAATTTTTTCATTTCCACCAAAGGTGTACAAGTGTCCCAATTTCTCCACAACCTCATAAACATTTGGTGTACTTAGGTTTCTTGTCCCTTAGGCTTCTTAATATCATTCCACCTTTTTTCACATGATTAAGCTTCACATCTCTGGCTTCTAGCATTTGAGAGCAATAGCATTCTATTTCAACATGCAAATTACCATGCTAGCCTACAAAAATATATCCATCATGGATCTTTTTACTGATGCTGATAATCTATTTGTTCAGGCATTTCTTAATGCCTTGGTGAAGGCTCCCCTGTGGTTATTTATAAGACCTTTCAGGTAGGTTGTTTTGAGAACAGAATTGATTAAGAACCTGAGAAATTTCCAAGAAGTCATTGATAGTCCTCAAAGTTGTGTATAAAATCCCAAACTGTGCTTTCCATGGAGCATGCAGTCACTAGGATGGGGCCCAGCTTGCTGTGCAAGTTGTTAATAAATTTTTCTTTCTTTCTTTTTCTTTCTTTCTTTTTCTGTTTCTTTTTCTTTCTTTTTTTTGCTAAAACTTTACTTGCTTTTTTTCCTATTATTTAAGCCACTACCTTGAGCCACCATAATACTCTAATATCACCACTGTCCCACAAGAAGATTTCCTTCCATAGAAAAAAGCAGTGTTTACCCTGTTATATAGCATAGAATGCAGATTTTTTGTTTATAAATAGTTTTCATTATTTTATTGTGACCATGACAAGGATAGATAGATAAGGATAGAAGGTGGAAGTAGACAATAAGAAGCAAAGATGCAAAGCTCTATATTGAAATATAAACTCTTTTATCCTACACATAAAGATCTTTAAGAAAAAGAATTCTATAATATTTCTTCCCATCCATATGTTGGCTGGTCTCCTATGACTACATTTATCTAAAATTAATAATTTTAAAAGTTAAGCCTAGTTTTTATTTGGCTATTGATTTTAACTATAATACACTTAAAGCTTTTAAAAAAATTTAATGTGAAAACATGTAAAAACAGAATGGTTTCCTTAAAATACTCATTAGAGTAACAAAATTGCATTTCGATTTTTCACTAATTGCCAGCAATAAAACATTCACAAAGGCATGTTTTCTCTTTATACAACTTACAATACTACAGAAAACAAAACACAGTCAACAAAAAGATAAAATTCCACTTTCATGTTGTATGACCTTCATATTGCCCTCTTAGCAGTGGATAAAAATGTCAATCTTCTAAGATTATTGCCTTTTGGATTCTATAATCTTAGGTGATTTTGACTGATATTTCATTCTGATTTCACTTATTTCATCATCATCAAGTAAAAATGAAGCCAGCACAGGAATCTGAGAAAAATAGTTCTTAGCCAGGATATGCTTGTGCTTGATCTTGTGGATAAATGAGTTTCTATATCCCTGCAAAGAAAAAAAAAAAAGTTCTATTAAATACCACAGATACATTTTACTAGTTAAAAATACTGGCATGCTTCAGTACTTTGGTTATTAGTTCTTTCTGTCCAAAATGTACAGGGTGTCCATAAATTTCATGTGCAATATAAAATAGTTTACTTTTAACAGTTTACTATTTTAAATTGTATATATTTTTCCTTACTTTGTCTATCATCTTTTAGGATACAGATCCTATGACATTTTAACCTGGAAGTTTTCCTCAATTCTTCTTATAACCTAAGTTCAAACTGCTGCTAGTTACCAGCTCAATTCTCATTCTCTCTTTCATTTGTATTTAGAGGTCTAATTTTATATAGGGTGTGATGTGCCCAGCTTTCCCAATCTTCATCCTAAGTAGGGCTGGCCATGTGTTGTGGTAAGTTTCTGATATATAAGAGACTGATACATACAAGTATATATCTCATTGGATAAAACTTACAGAAAAGCTTTTAAAAGAGGTTTTTAAGAGTGGGAAGACTCACTATCAGGCACCTTTAGCCTTTTACTAAACCTGAAATACAGATATAACACAGGAGATGAAGCAGCTATCTCTAAACGTCCACAAGCATGAGAGTGAAAGCCAAAGTTTAAATGTAACTGAGGAAAAAGTTAGAGCAACTCAGTCTCTGAAAGCACTATGAAGGTGCCATATGTGTACTAGCCCCAGACTGCCAACCTCTGGACTTCTTATTACAGAAGAAAAACAAAACCATATTTGATTAAGAAAATTTATTATAAATTTTCTGTTATTTGCACCTGACATTGACAATGAAGAATTATATTCCAAACATATTTACTGGTTTCTTTTCAAGCATTAGGCACATTCAAAGGTAAATTCTGGTTAGATTAATAAGTGCTATTTATTCTCTTTATTAATATTAATTGGCCTTCTTTTCAATAAAATCACAAATACTATGTATACTTTCTCCTACAATTTATTCTCCGAGAGTGAGACATTCCTTCACTAAACATATCTTCACAGGGTCAAATATAAGATAAAAGAAATTCCCGGGGGAAAGGATCTTAAGGACTTGATATTTTTGTAGAAAGTATTATATAGGCATATTCTAGACTTATTTGAAAGTTTCCTCTCTACAGACAAATGTACTATGTTAAAATACTCATCCTTTTCACTAAAGCAATTATTCCATCACTTCTTAGCCCATATTTTTTCATTCAAGAAAAACTAACACATTTCTGATATATAGAACTTTATGGGTTTTCAAAGTACCTTTATAGACTAAAAATTATTAAAGATGAGATAAGCATATTATTGTTCATACATTCAAAGGAATAATAAGTAACTTTGAAAAAATAATATAATTTGGAAAAATATCCAGTATCTATTGTTAGGTAAAGCAAATAAACCAAGTTTCAGAGTAACTTCACATGAAATTAATACTGTTAAAAAAA